CACTGTTTGCACAAGTATGCAAAGTGGCAGATTCAAAGAATAATTCAGGCTGAAAGGGTTCTCTGGAGGTCTCTAGTCCAAACATCCCAGGTCAAAGCAGGCTGAATTAGATCATTTTGTTCAGGATTCTGTCCAATCTGGACCCAGTTTCCATGCTTGACCCTTTCACAGCTGAAAAATAACACTGAAGTGGAGAAATAAAAATTGGATGGCAAATACAGAGGCAACTTTATGTAAAGGAGGGCCAAGTTTGTGCCTTTGTATCAAAACTGCATTAATAGGTCATTAAAAAATGCTTTACACTAGAAGTCCACAGACATTAAGACATTGACAAGTTTGTAAATTCTTTGTTCAAACGGTCACATTATTTTTGTAGGATCTCTGCTAGGAAGGGCAAACAATTCTCTTCTGCAACTGGCTAATCAGCTGCTTTTCTTAAATCTGTAATTTCATTAAAGCTTCTCAAGTGGGAAATTTTTAATGAAATTCAGATGAACAGAATGGCCTATTCTTCCTCTCAGAGGTGTCAAAACTGCTCAACCAGAACTCAAGGTTCAGAAACTCCTTTCACTCCTGCAATGTTTTTAAATTAACACCACACATTTTTTCCACAGATATTGTCCAACTTTAGGAGAAAAAAATACTTTTAAAGAACATAAACAGCTAAACAATACCAAGCATTAGGAACATTAAGACAAGAGAAAGAACACATACAACTTGTACACAGTGCTAACAGAAAAACCTGCTATGAAGTTTGTGAACAGGTGGCATAAAGGAGGTGTTTAAGAACTTGAGGGTGCCAGATCTAATCCTGAGACAGCAGGTTAAAAACAAAGGGCAGTACTTTATCTTCATGTGATAATTGCTATGTTCATTGCCAAGGAAAGCTCTGGATGCGATCACTTCCCTACATCACAACCGATTAACGGCAGGCACACCCATAACAGGCCGTAACATCCACTTTGCTGTTCCAGCTCTGACTCAAGAAGCTATCAAACTACACAACTGCTGAACTGCAGCCAGAAGCATCATTGGTCTATTACCATTTTTCATTCCCTAAACATGTAGCAGAAATAAGTAAGACAAGGTTGCGGTAGAAAAGAATATTGTCTTTCCAGACTCGTAACTCCCGTAACTTGCCACTCAGATATTTTTTATCTTCCCAGGATTCTGAAGGGTGTCTTAATAAAAGACATTGAACTCCTATCCCAGAGGAGGGCTGTGCATGGTGGATGTTGATATGTTACATAAATTAGTATCAGCATTAATAAAGTTAAGTTTTTCTTAAGCTCAAGAAACCAAGTTAAAATTTGTTTCTCAATCTGAAAGCTCCCTGTTACTAGAAACTCTTCGAGGATTCCACAGTTCAAAACAGTTTGTTGCTTACACTGCAAACTGCTTTCTATAGAGTCGCATAAAACATAAATGCTGAAGGATACATCTCCCTGGAATTATCTTACTATGATGCCACCAGGGCCAAATTCACTTGCTTTCTGGAAAAGCAGCCCTCTAAACTCGTTTGTAACAAACCACAGCCTTGGAAACATCCTGAAGACAGAGCCTGGATTTTGCCAACAAATGTGTTATGGACAGCAGCATTGTTTTTTCCCCAAAGCAAACCCTGCTTTCACCAACATGTGTTCAATGAAGTAATATGTCCAGTGGCAAAGTTTCACAACTCTTTTGAAGAGCAGCATTCATTTTCCAAGGCTGAAAGAAGTTTACTGAAAGCAACAAGCTCTCAGGCTTTGACTTCATGCCCAAGGTTCTACCTTTTGAAAAGACAACACCTCTGACCAAGTCCCAGCAGGTTTAAAAAGTGATTTAACCCTTGGCATTTCTTTGTGCACGTACAAGTTGCAGAATACTCCGAAAAGCCCCATGACTACCCTGTAAATAGCAATCATTAACGTCACACACGCAGAAGATGCAGAAGCAGCCCACACAGATTCCCCCAGAGAGGCTGGCAACCATACCTTTGTGCCTTTTGCTCTTCTTTTTTCTAGATGCAGTCCGTCCGTTGATGCTTTCCTTTGTATCCATTTCATCGCTGCTGTCACAAGACTCTCCTGATATGGAGAGAACCTCCTCAGCAACCAAACCACAGAGGGATTTTACTAGAACGACAAGCAACGACACAGTAAGTACATCAGCAGAGAGAAAAAGGTGATCCAACTTCAGGAGATACTTCAGTGGAACCACTGCCAGAGCCACTGCTGAGAAATGACACGCTAACTGCATTAAAGCTCTCTGGTGAGTGACATAAGCAAGTAAATCCTAGGCCCAAGGACTACCTCGTCAGAGAACAATTAGCACGGGCGAGTGAACTGGTAATTATTCAGCTTTTTGTTTTAAAGAATGAACAATGAGGACGATTACCAGCACATTATGCTGATGATCCCATTGGTTTAGCTAGCCCTGTTTACAATTCTGAATAAAACAACAGGCTCTTTTTCTACAGTGCTAACCAGTTCCCCTGCATACCAGAGCTTCCTTGCATGACCGCTGTTCAGTCTGCATAGAGCCAGCACTACTCTGTAATTGTTCTATGAACACAGAGAAGATACACTCCCTTCTCAGCAGGATAAAGAGATCCTGTGGCTGATGACACACAATCCACCAGCGATATAACTCAATGCCAAGCATACAGGAGCTCCACTTATCCTAGAATTCAGTGGAGGAAAAGACTCTGGCCTAATGAGGAAAACGGCAAGTCAAGTCAGTTGGGTTTTTTTGCTGCCTCTGGGGAGATGTTTAGACACATCCCTGTTAGGAAATATTATTTTTAAAACTTGATCTGTAAAATGAGGGCTCATTAGGGTAGAAAAATCCACATGTGCGGCAGTAAAGTCACTTCTGAAAAAGAAAGATGCGGTCCTATGTTACAGCTGGGTGAGGCACTGTCATAGCCCAGCATTGTTAAGAGCATTACAAACGCTTTGCAAATAGTCTGTAAAATTCATCCAAGAAAGCTGAATTTCAACCTAATGTGCTTGGATTAAGAAAAAGACTTCTACCAAGAGACACCTGACCATTCCAGAGGAGGCTTGCACTGCTCAAGCTTTTCTAACCTAGCACAAAATGAAGCCCAGGAAGGTTTTCTACATCCGTCAGTCACCAGTGCCACCAGAATGCATGACATGCTATTTGAATTAAAGGGACAGAGTGGCAAGGGGGGAAATAAAAAAAGATCAGCAACTGACCATAAATTCAATTTTATTGAATTCAAGCAAGATTTTCTCATTTCTAACTACTGAACAAGGTTTTAAAATGGTAATACAGCAGATGGAAAGACAGTCATAGGATAGACTATGACTGACTAGAGATACTTTCAGTGCTTTGCTAAGCCAGTTCTACCTCGCTTTGTGCAGTTTACTACATAAACTGTACGCATTCACAATAGTGGTATCCCTGACCGTGAAAGCGTACTGCCTTGTCTATGTGACCTTTTATAGGCAAAAAGAAAGAGAAACAGATGGCACCACGAATGGCAGTAAGTTATGACATCAAATACAGCCAAGCAAGAGAGGAAAACGAGACTCAGAGAGGGGTTTAGAAAAAGAAACCATCACACTCTGCAAAGGAATCTGCGTTGACTGAATCACACTGCATTGCAATCTTGCAGAGCCACCCTCTCTTCATCTCACAGCAGTAATCCCCACCTCATCCATGGGGGCTATGATGGGGAAGAAAAAAGCTGAGGAAAATTCCACCTAGCCTTTGCTCCCCTCACCGTGAAGCTCCCTGCTTGTTGGCAGTCACATGCCGTGTGATGTTGACTGGGAGCCAAGAGACAGCAGGTGAGCGAGGCCAAAGGCTGCCGTCTCCCCCCGGCTGCCTGTCCCCATGCATGGCGCGCCACACCAGATAAGGCTGTAGCATGCTGTCAGGACTGCACCAGATAAGGCTGTAGCCCAGCTCTGGGGCTGGGGAGGAGATACCGAGGATCCCCACATAAGGAGGGGAAAGCCCCAGTGACTCTGCACTGCAAAGACCTGAGAAAGGGGTGGGCAGGGAACTGCTGTGACCTGGAGTCATCCAGATAGCGAGGAGGTGAGCCAGAAACAGAGCGGGATTTTAGGAGAGAGGTTAAGCTGGACAAAGCAGGTGATGCTGGATCCAAGGACTTGGGGTGGGGCAGAGGAAAATAAAAGACAACAAAGTTTGCCAAGTATCATGCTGAAGTGCAGTACTTTGAGGCACTGCCTCAAAGAGAGAGAGTATAGAAGGGTGAACAGGAAAGGGAATGGGAAGAGGGAAGCCCTCAGCCTATTACAAAGGAGGCAACAAGAGAGATGTGCCCTGATCTTAAAAGCTTGAGAAGTAGCAGCTAAAAAGGATATTCACCAGCATCACTGTCCCATAGTTTCCCCAGGACAGGCATTCATAAAAAGAGCACATTTTCTTTAAATGCATAAAATTTCAGCAACATAACAAGAGTTTTCCTATATGAAGGGTTCAGTCGTCACCATCAATAACATTCAGTCCCAACATGTGTGACCAGCTACATTTAAGAGTCAAGGACTAAACATTTATCAAGCAAACAGGGTGCATTAGTTCAGAATGCTCCCAGCAGCTAAAAACCAAGGAGGAAGTAGGTAACAAAATATTGCAATGCCTTTCCAGGAAACTGCTTGTTTATTCAGTTCACCAAGGAAACAGCAATACCCTCAAAAGACCTCCTGGCAGCTTACAGCACAGAAGGGGAACACGTTTGCCAGAAGTATCATAACCTTATTCCCACTGCAAAGAATTTTACCTGTTAATAAATTTGTCTACAGTTTTCTATGAAGTAATACAATAATAAAGACTCCTATCATGTTATTTTCTGCTTCAAATAGGAGATAACACCCAATAGTTAATGGAAAAAGGCCTTTCATTCCAGGCACTAACAAAGACTCAGCAATTCTTACTGAGCTTCCAACAGGCTTTCTGCAAAACCACTTGTCTAAGATCCTAAACACCTGATTCTGCAAAAGAGCACAGACTCATTTTCAGGCACTAAATGAGACAGATTTTCTCAGGCCACAGAAGGGGATTTTCCCACATCATGCAGAAGCCAGGAAAACAGGGAGGCAGCCTGGGGAAGGCAGGCTCTCCAGCGTAGACTCACCTTCCTGCTAATTGGCCACAGCTTTTTTCACCCGTCCAGATTTCACGACAGCTGGGTCTGAGTTAGCATAATCTGCCACCGTCACTGCAGGAGAGTCGGGAGACAGTGCGTCAGCCAGATTATGGATTACAGGGGAGGGGACAGAAGGTCGAAGAGCCACGATCCCACAAGGGGACACTCCCCATAGGAATGGCGGCTTGACGAGGAAGTGCACAAGCAGGAAAGGGAGCTCCAGCAAAGGGGTGCAGGCCGGGAGCCCCCAGCAAGGCCTCGACCCCAGTCCATCAGTCCCCCAGGCCCTGGGGATCCACCCCCTGCCCAGGTCTCCCTCTCCCCCCTCCTCAGCCAACGCCAAACCCCGTACCCCTCACACACACAGCCTAACTCAGGCCTAGCTGACCCTCTGAGCCCAGGCTCCTCCTTCGCAGACCAAGACGGCTCATTCCCACACTCCCACATCAGGCCAGATCCCCCACCTGCAGCTGGAAGCACCCTTCGCCC